AAACCGTATATTTAAATTTTCAAAGGTGTTTCTATTCGAATTCTCACAGATCCTTCATAAAACTATGGAGACATGTCAAGACCGATTCTTTTTCTTCTGGTTCTTGGTTTGATGAAATGAATCCTTGAAAAGATTTTCCATTTTTCTAAAGCAGATGGTGTCTAAGCGTCAGTTTCCCGACGTGCCCTTCAAAATGTTGATTAAATTGTTAACTATCTCCGTCCTTTGCAGGAACTTAGCGTTCAGCTTTTTGCTCAGCTAGAGAATGATACCAAAGGTAGTGAAGAGGAAGCCTTTGGGAAAGGAGGATATCGCTTTGCCTGTCTTCATAAGGTGTGTTTACGTCATCTCTCAAAGGAGCGAGGCGGACGCGAAAATGAAAGGCGACTAGGGAAAGAAAGGCTCGAACTTTTTCATCCCAGTCCTACCTTCAAGTTTGCTGTTACGCCCGAGGTCATTCGCGTTCAATCCGGAGGCCTGGAACACTCTGTCCACGAACATTTGGAGTGTTGGACCAATGGAGATGAATCGAATGACAAGTTGATAATCGAGTATTTTTTGTATTGCATTTTCAGGAAGTCGTGGACAGATTTGGTCGCTTTCCACAGCGGAACAAAGTTCTGGGCAGAGAAAACACACCAGAAGAAGAAGATTGGCTAAATAATTTACCTAACAAGTACAAATGGTGAAGCATACACAGAGTACTACTGAACTGTACACTGATTTTGGTAATACACTTTAAAAATGCGCCGATCAGCTCGAAATTTCAATGTTTGATTTCTTTGGTTCATATTCCCCTCATTTCAGTTTGTACAAACTCAGTCGCCTTTCTCATTATTTTAAAGAACACTTGGTTAGTTGTCAGTAACGTTCACCTTGTTTGTCACGTACCTCTCCCACATGAGGAAAGATTGCGTGGCAGGCTGACAACAAAATCACGTTTGAGGACGTGATCGGGCCTTAATTTAGCATATTGATTCAATATTAAAGTTATTCAATATTCAATTTTTAGTTAGCTCACCGAATTCATCCTTGAACAAATCCCGGGAACAAATATGTTCCAAGTTGAGGAACGTTCTAATCGAAAAAATATATATATTATTTAACAAATAAAGAAGCCTATGCCGTGTATTACACTGTGATAAAACACGACGGGCATTTGAGAACACGAGGGAAATGTAGAAATCATGAGCCGCGCGTGAGTGCTTTCTACATTTCTCTAGTGTACTCAAATGTCCGGAGTGTTTTATGACAGTGTAATACACGGCTTAGGCTTGGGTTTTTGACCAGTCAGAGCGCGCGCAGGGTCCTAGCTATATTATGAAATAAAATAAAATGTTTTCATTCATATTATCATTGCATTTAGTTTGTTTATTCCCACAAACCATACAGTTGATAGAAACCGAGAGTAAACCGCCAAACTGTTTCAAGATAACCCACTGACCGATCTATCAAACACAATTACCCTTTTATTTGTAAATGTCTGAGATGGAACACCCCAAAATGTGTAGTATGAAAAAACAAGCGTTTTTCACCTTAACTGGCACCCTCACTCGTCACCTGAATTACAGGAAACTTCTCTCCTGCTCTGGAAAGCTCTGTGCCCAGTCTCCCCTGGCCTAAATTGAGATATAATTTCACTGACCATGGGTCCAAATTTTTTCCTCGTCCACTTGTGGTCCACGATGACACCACTTCTTTTCTGTTCCTAGCAGAATTCAAGAAGCATTTCTTCCCAAAAATGTACCCCTTTTTGTACCACTTGCATTTTGAAACATTGAATTATTTGTTACCACGTTTTGATGTTTATTGGTCTAAAAGGCTTCTTAGACGTCGCTCTTTGAACAATCACAGACGCCATAATGAATTCTTCCCTTGCGTGAGTGACACTCCGGGGTGTGACAATGTTTGCGTGACTATCGCGTGAATAAAGCCGTTCCCGGTCTTGTTACTTACATATCTCAAGCAGAAAACGGTTTTCTTGGAGATACAAGGACCTCTAAAACCCGGTAAGGTGAGAGGAAAGTCTTGCTTCTCAAGCTGCTAAATTTATTGCTTTGAAAATCCAAAATAAATATTTTGGACGAGACTGGCAGCTTGAGACTCGACGCCCGCTTCGTTCTGTTTTATTAAAAGCGACTGGTTTTCTCGTTTTCATTGTCAGAAGGTGCCCCAGATATCATTACTTAAATGAAAACTAGGATCTAGAAGACTTTTTGTAGACTTTCTGTTATAATTCGAAGAATTTTCTCAGTCTTCGAGCATCTGTTGTAAGTATGAATTTATTTTGCCATGTACACTCGGCCTCCACATTTTAATTATGTAGAAGTTGTTTGTCAATGTTTGGCTTTACTTGTGGGTGTCTCGAGGTCAATTTCCGAAGGCAATCTTTATTATTCATCCTCAGTTCTGAATGACTGACGTTTTAATGCTTTCCTCTTGAAACAATTGACGTTGAATTTCATGTTATAACTGTGAAAGCGTGGGGAACAACCGCATGCATGAGATTAGGGACAAAAACACGTGTATCAAAATGTTCCTTTACATATAAGAGTATTACAGAATTTATCGTTCTTTCCGTCGACGAAGAAGATGGCATTCTGCTTTCAAGACAAATGAGCCCTCTACCAGCTGCAGCGGAGCTGTATCCTAAATTAAAGGCAGAATAAAAATGTGGCTTAATCAAGAAAACGGCCATTGAATGCCAGAGATAAACTCCTGCTGCGGTTTTCGATGTTAATATTACTTGTCAACGTAAATTACCGAAATGCATTACCATCACTGTATTTTGGTCTATTTTTTCTGTTATGTTCTGCTAAAGGGTTTGAAATAGATTTTTGAGGGTATGCAAAATCTTATTTTTTCACCGCCAATAACAATAGAGACAATGTGAAACTTTATCCTTCGCTGAAGGCGCCCTAAAATTTACGACTCATTTGCATATGTCACGAATTTTCCGCTAAAATTAAAATAACTCGCGACGGGTTGTTGCAGGATTAGGTTTGTATTTGACGTGAACTGCCAAACCCGTGTTTTGCTGGACTGTTAATCGTCGCACCTGTTCACCCTGTTCTCGTTTGGTTCAGTTTAATTTAGTTCACAATGTCATACAAAGAAGCAAATGATGTGTTAACCTACTGGTTTGGAGGTGGTGTTATTTCAAAGAGACCACGATGGTTCGGAGGCGGAGAAGAAGCAGCGCAAGAAATACGAGACAAGTTTGAAACGTTGGTTAGTGAATTCTGGCGCTCTCTCTGTCACGCAACGCTACGCTCTCGGGAGAGATTGGCTGGCTGTCTCCCGAGAACGTAGCGTTGTGTGACAGAGAGAGGGCCAGAACTGGAAGATTAAAGATTTTTTGACGGTTTAAAAAGCAAGTAAGTCTTTTGCAGGAACAGAAAGACGCACTTAAATAGTAATGGCACATTTTTGCTGACCTGAAATGTTCTATAGTTTAGTTGAGGGAAGGGTGGGTGTGGCTAGGTGTGAAACGGTCACGTGCAAATAACAGCGACTTATTAGGTCGCAGAAAACCTGAATTCACTCATTTGTTTTCTTTACAGGTTGAGAAAGCAAGAAACGACGAACTAAAACACTGGGAAAATGACCCCAAAGCAACTCTAGCATTGATTATTTTACAGGATCAATTCCTTCGCAGTTTGCACAAGGTTTGCGATAAATGTCGGGTGACCCACTGACTTATACACCAACCAAACGAACGACATACCAACTGAACGAACGAACGAAGGTGTTAAGGTATGCACGTGCGAGCAAGTTAACAAATCGACAAATTAACGAACGAACTACCAACAAACAAGCGAACGCACAAACAAAAGAACGAAAGAATGAACGCATGAACGAACGAACGAACGAAAACGGACGGACAGACCGACAGACGGACGGACGGACGAATACACGCACGTAGGAACAAACGGACGTACGAATGAGCGAACGAACGAATGCACCTACGAAGGAATGCATGTACGAACAAATGTACTCACGAAGGAGCGAGAGAACACTCGAATGAATGAGCGAACGAACGAACGAAAAAAGGTAGGATGGAAGAATGTAGAAAGCGACTTAACGAGGAAGAAAAAGTTTAAGCCAGCCTGTTATAGAAAGAGTTATCTATTCTGTGAGTGTTACAATAATACGGGACTGTTTATCCAATCAAAATGCGTTTGCCGGTTAGAGACAGTGTTCTCTAGGGCTGTCTTGAGATGTCCTCCTATTTGAATTTTGGTTATTCTAGGGTAGCCCTGTTGCCACATCAAGGGATCTCTACTGTCAAGAACTCGCTGAAAAGGTAAGTCAAACAAGGTACTTTTCACATTGCACTCAAGTTTTAGCTGTTCGTTTCAGACATTTTCAACCACACACTAACCAATGACATGCACTTTGTCATTGTTTCTTAATCTGTTTTACTTCTCTCTCTTGAAAGTTCATACAACGTGATACCCACGACCACTTGAAGTTCAGCCCTGCTGCAAGACTTTTTCTTTATCTTCCACTCGAACACAGTGAGGATAGAGGGAAACAGGTACAGGAGACAGTCCTTTAGAAAAGCCGTGAGGTGGAAATCACGCTTTGTCGTTCTAAAAGTAAAAGTAGAGTCAAATCAAAGGAAACTCGAGTATTTTCAAAGGTGTCCTTCGAATTCTCCCAGATCATTCATGACTCTATGGAAAGAAGTTAAGACCGAATTATTATTATTTTCTTTGTTGATTTTTAGTTTGATCAAAGAAACGTTTGAAAACATTTTCCATGTTACTAAAGCAATTGGCGTCTTTGGGGCCAGTTTTTCGATGCGTGCCCTTCAAGATGTTTTAAATTTGTTTTTTCATCCTTTGCAGGAGCTTAGCGTTCAGCTTTTTGCTCAGTTAGAGAAAGACACCAAAGGCACTGAAGAGGAGGCCGCTGGGAAAGGATGGTATCAGTTTGCATGTCTTCACAAGGTGTGTTTACGTCATTTAGTGAGAGTCGCAAGGTTCGTGTCATTTCTGAAGGGACCGGAGCGCGTGCGAAAATGACAGGCGACTTGGGAGGAAAATGTTTCGTCCCAGTCCTCGCTCCAAGGTCCAAGGTCATTCGCGTTCAATCCGGGAGCCTGGAACAAGCCATGACAGAACATTTGGAGTGTTGAGCCATTGGAGATCAATCGAATGACAAGTTCATAATCGAGTACAGACTGTTCACAGCCTCTCTTTTTACGCCCGCGAAAGAAAAAGCGAGCGAAGCGAGCACGAAGTACCCGGATGTGGGGTTTGCGAGCGAAGCGACTGAGCTATTTCTCTCGCGATTCTATCCGCTCGTTCAACCATCGAATAAATATACGAGAAAATAGAGGGGTGTGAACAGTCGGCTAAATAGAGTATTTTCTGTATTGCATTTTTAGGAAGTCGTGGACAGGTTTGGTCGCTTTCCACAGCGAAACAAAGTTCTGGGCAGAGAGAACACACCAGAAGAAGAAGAATGGCTAAACAACTTACCTGTCAAGTTCAAATGGTGAAGCATACTTGGAGTACTACTGAACTGTCCACCGGTTTTGGTCATACACCTTGAAAAATGCCCCGATCAGCTCGAAATTTCAATGTTTGATTGATCCTTTGGTTCACATTCTCTCCCTCCCTTTCAGCTGGGACAAAACTGAAGGGTTAATGTACGGTATTCTGTTTACGGAACTTCTTTTTTTTTAAGTCACGTTTCTCATCATGTCAATAACGATAAGTTGTCAGTAACATTCTTCTTATTGGTCACGCAATCTTTCCCTCACGAGGAAAGATTGCGCGACGGACGTGGAACAAAATCGCGTTTGAGGACGTGAAATCTTCGTGCAGGGGAATTGAATTTTGAAAGTTCAAAGTTTGAGCGGGGTTAAATTAAATATATTCATACAATGTTTATTCCTTTTTTTTTAGTTAGCTCACCGAATTCATCGATGAACAAATGTATTCCAAGTTGAGGAACGTTCTAATCGAAAAAATAAAATGTTTTCATCGTATTATTGCTTCTCAGTTGTGTATTCCTGCAAATCATGTATTCGATAGAGATCGGGAGTGAAGCCATTTTTAAAGATCGGCCAGCTCTCAGTGCTCTCTATGAGATTGGGCGTTTATCTGCTAGTCGGTCAGTAGGTTATGGCTACGATCGATACTCGGCACCGGAAGCTGGTCAATCTTTGAAAATGGTTTCAACTTCGCGTTTTCGTGGTCATACTGAAAAAGATATACCTTTGATTTCTCGGGAATCACCTACAGGTGCACATGGAGTTGTGTAAACGGCAAAGAGCTCAATAACAACTCTATGTCATCTTATTACGTGCTTCGAGAAAAGGGATCTTTTCAAGGTTTAAGGCTAAGTAAAGCCATGTGTTCTTGCCAATTTGCGGCATTACTTTGAAAAGCAATTTAACGAGCAAATCACGGAAGCTGATTATAATTCCGTAGCAAAACCAAATTCGCTCTCTTACCACCTCTCTGTAGCGAGTTGACACAAATAGTTTTGCAAAAGCAAAATGCAAACAAACTGCATTTATACTTGTAGACGAATGTTCAGTATCAATACAATTTCTTAGAACTAAATGAAAAACATGCCATTTGGGCACACGGTTGTCCGCTTGCCCAGTCTGTTAAAAGCTTTCCACTCTAAACTCGACCCAGGTTCTCTCTCCTTCACCGCCTTGGTCGTTGAGGCGCGTGAGTGACACCCGTGGTGTGACAATGTTTGCGTGACACCCAGGAAGCTTATCGGGCGCAAACGTACCCAATGTAGTGGATAAATGATAAGGCAGTTTCATTGTCGGTTGTCTTGGTACTTACTTATCTCAAGCAGAAAACCGTTTTCTTGGAGCTACAAGGACTTCCAAAACCCGGTAAGCTGCTAATAAAGTCTTGTTTTAAAAGCTGCTAAATTTGCTGCTTTGAAAATCTAGAATAGATATTCTGGAAGCGGCTGGCCGCTTGAGACCTTTATACGTCTGCCTCATTCTGTTTTATTTAGAGACTAGTTTTCTCGTTTTTAGTACTAAAACCGGATGCCCCAGATATTAATTGTTAATCACATGAGAACTAGGATTCCGAACGCCTTTTTGCAAAGTTTGGCTTGCTCCGTTTTCGAACATGAAATCTGTGGTGAGTACGAGTTTAGATATTTGCCATGTATAAACTCGGCCCCCAATTTTAATTATGTATATGTCCTTTGTCTAGCTCTCAGATGTTTGAGTTTCTTGCGAGTGTCTCGATGAAAAGACCAAGGGCAATCTTTATTGTTCGACTTCATCTCCAGTTCCGAATGCGTGACGCTTTAACACTTTCCTCTTGGAACAAACTGGTGTTGGATTTCATACTATAATTCTGAAAGTGTGGGAACAGAAGTGTAAATGGGAATGACAAAAATACGTGTCTAACAATGTTCCTAATTAAAAAAAAAAAAAATTAATCAATTTTATTGTTACTTCCGGCGACGAAAAAAGGTGGCAATGTACCCTTTACTAGCTGCGCACAACGAAGCTGTATCCTAAAGGCGAAATAAAATTGCGACTTAATCAAAACTACGGCTATAGAATGTATAAACCAACGATAGACTCCTGCTGCAGTTTTCATTGTTATTACTTGTCAACGTCAATTAGTGAAAAGCATTACTATCACTGTACCTTTTCCATTGTTACTGGCGGTGAAATAAATAACAATTTTGACCAATGAGAATCTTGATCCTTCGCTGAAACTTATC